GGATCCATCAGCCATCCCCAGACTGCTGTGAGAGGTGCCGTGTGTTGGACCCTGCACAAGTAGAACAGGGCTTGGAGAGTGTGGGCCCTGAGAACTCGACTTGGGGGCAGGAGCTCCTCTCCAAAGAGGAGAACATCTCCCAGCCTTCCTCAGGGTGGGACATGTCACGGTGGTGGCCCCACATTAAATGTTCCCAGGGGTGAGCAGATGGCCCTGTGGTGAGCTGGGTGTTGCTGTGTCCCCTCACAGCCCTGAGCAGCCATGGAGAGGATGCAGCACGTCATAGCACGGGCCAGAGCCGCCTTCAACTCGGGCCGGAGCCGCCCGCTGGAGTTCAGGATACAGCAGCTGAAGGCCCTGGAGCGGATGGTGCAGGAGAAGGAGAAGGAGATCCTGGCAGCCCTCCACGCGGATCTGCACAAGGTCTGGGTGGGCAGGGGGTCTCTCCCTTCTGCACAGGCACCGGGCAGCCCTGAGGAAAGCAGGAGGGCCAAGGGCTGCCTGGGCCACAGCTGATGGTTTCTGTCATGTCCCCCACCGTGGAGCATGACTTTGCTCTGACCCTCCAGGCTGCCACAGTGGGTGTGGGAGGTGAGTGGCTTTGCCATATCCTCCCCAGTTTCCCCCTTGTTGCAGAGTGGACCCAACGCCTACAGCCATGAGATCCTGGGTGTGCTGGTGGAGCTGGCCCTGGTCATGGAGAAGCTGCCGTCCTGGGCAGCCCCCCAGCCCGTGAAGAAGAACCTGATGACAATGAGGGACGAGGCCTACATCAACTTTGAGCCGCTGGGAGTGGTGCTGATCATCGGGGCCTGGAACTACCCCTTTGTGCTGGTCATGCAGCCTCTGATCGGGGCCATCGCAGCAGGTGGGGCCCATGCTTTGTGGGGCTGTGGGTGGGTGCTGGGGGAGAGGAAGGTGAGGGCTCAGGGGCTGTGCTGTGTCTGTCTTGTAGGCAATGCTGTGGTGGTGAAGCCCTCAGAGGTCAGTGAGAACACGGCTAAGCTGGTGGCTGAACTCCTCCCCCAGTACCTGGACCGGGTGAGTGTGGCCCCGTGTTGGTCCCCAGGTTTCTCTGTGCCACAGTGATGCTCAGGGTTGGGGTGACACTGACCCCCTTGCCTTGCAGGAGCTGTACCCCGTGGTCACTGGAGGAGTTCCTGAGACAACAGAGCTGCTCACCCAGAGGTTTGATCACATCCTCTACACCGGCAACTCTGCAGTGGGCAAAATCGTGATGGCAGCAGCTGCCAAGCACCTGACACCCGTCACCCTGGAGCTGGGTGGGAAGAGCCCCTGCTACATCGACAAGGACTGTGACCTGGCCGTCGCCTGCAGGTCAGGCCATTGCACCCCCTCAGCAGTGGGGCAGGGGCACATCTCTGGTCCAGTGTGCCCAGCTCAGGTGCTGTCAGCTGGGCTATGGGCTGTGGAAGGGACTGAGAGTGGAGAAACCCCCTGCCTTTCCCCTGCAGGCGAATAACATGGGGGAAATACATGAACTGTGGGCAAACCTGCATCGCCCCAGACTACATCCTGTGTGAGCCGTCCATCCAGAGCCAGGTGGTGGAGAACATCAAGGCCACTCTCCAGGTGAGGCAGCAGCTGCCAGTGCCGTGGGAGTTGTCCCCATCACAGCCCAGGTGTGAGTTGCTGGAGCTGTGGCTGTTGGCAGGTGTGTTGAGCACTTTGTTTCTGCTGTGCCTTTGTCAGGAGTTCTATGGGGAGGACGTGAAGTCGTCTCCAGATTATGAAAGGATCATCAACAAGCGCCACTTCAAGAGGGTGATGGGCTTGCTGGAAGGGCAGAAGATCGCTCATGGGGGAGAGAGTGATGAGGCCTCCTGCTTCATAGGTGCTGCTGGCTGGGAGGGGAGGTGTTAGTGGGTGCCCTTTGGGGTCTGTGTGTCTGTGGTTTGCTTGGATTGTGTTTCACACAGACAGTGCCACGAGGTCCTGTGATGGAGCAGGTGTTCTGTCCTGCTCATGCTGTTCTCCTCTTTGTTGCAGCACCGACCATCCTGACCGACGTTTCCCCGGATTCAAAGGTGATGGAGGAGGAAATCTTTGGACCTGTCCTGCCCATTGTGACGGTGAAGAGCGTAGAGGAAGCCACTGAGTTCATCAACCGTCGGGAGAAGCCCCTTGCCTTGTATGTGTTCTCCAACAACAAGAAGGTGGGTCTGGACAGTGGTGCCTCTGTGTGGTTGGATCCTGTACTTGGCTGGTCCCAGAGAGGGCTTCGTGCAGGGTCTGTGTCCGTTCCTCTTCCGTGTGAGTTGCAGCGTTTGGCTCACAGGGGCCATCAGTGTCCCCAGAGCTGCTGAAGGGCTCTGGGTTTGCACCTCTCCCTGTCCTCTCAGCTGGCCACCCACGCGGGTGGGTGCTGGCTCCTGGCACGTCTCCTGCCCTCACTCCAGGCTCTGTTGTACCAGTTCAGGAATTCAGGACAGGGCTTTGCCGTGTCACAACAGCCCCAGCTGGTTTGTGTGGGAGGGCTGAGAAGCACCCCAGGCTCTGGGTGGATGCACCTCTGCCTCTGACCTGTCCCACTGAGATGGTCAGGGCTGTTCCAGTCGGGCAGATCTTGTGCTTAAGTGATGTAAAGTGGCCTCTCCCTCGAAACAAGGCACAGACTGTGCCCTGCACAGAGCGGGATGGAAGCACCAGCTTGAACCCTCCCTGCTCTGGGACATGGTGTGGTGTCCCATCTTGATTTCCCCTTGTTCTGTGCCATCTCCCATTCTGGGCAGCTGATCAGACGGGTGATATCAGAGACCTCCAGCGGTGGCATGACAGGCAATGACGTCCTCATGCACTCCGTGCTTCCGGATCTGCCCTTCGGTGGTGTGGGTGAGTCCCTGCTCCACCCCCTGCCCCTGGATTCAGTCTCCCAGCAACATCCTCTGGCCCATGTGCTGTTGTGCCCCTTTGGCAATTCAGGAACTTTCAGCTGCATTTTCCCCATTAATGGGATTTTTTTCTGTTATTTTCTCTTTGTAAAAAGCCTCATTAGTGTTGTGGTTTTTAGGCCTCCCACCTTGAGAGAGGAAAACCCTCTGGCACATATGTGAGCTCCTGTTCTCCTGTGCTGAGGAGTGGGATGAAGTTGCCTATAGCCAAGTGGCTGGCTGAGTTTCCACAGTCACTGTCAGGGTCATGTAGCAGGGACAACCTGGCTGAGGTCTTGGTTGTTGCTGGTGTCAGAGTGCTGAATGTCCTCCTCATGTCCCACTCCTTGAAATCATAGATTCAGTCCCTCCTGTCACTGACCCCTGTGAAAACTCTGTGGGAGAGCCCTGGGAGGGTTGAGAACTGGTGCCATTAACCTTTCAAGGACAGGTGCACACAACCAGCCTGAACAGCAGTTCAAGACAGTGAGCAGGTCCTCACCTATTTCTGGGTCGTTAATAAAGCTGCTCTTTGCTTCTGTGCCCTGGGGGAGCAGAGCAGCTGCTCCAGGTGTGAGAAGCAGCATGACCAACCTTTCCCCGTGTCCTGGGGGCTGTCAGACAGAACTGAAGAAACACAGGTGTCTCTGTGCGTGGTGTGACCTGCCTGGGTTGTGTCCCTCAGGTAACAGCGGGATGGGAGCCTACCATGGCAGGTACAGCTTCGAGACCTTCTCCCACCGCCGCGCCTGCCTGATCAGGGACCTGAAGATGGAGGTTGTGAACAAACTGAGGTACCCACCTGGCAGCCAGGAGAAGGTGGATTTGGCCAAGTTCTTCCTCCTGAAGCACTGCAGCCACAGCCGAGTGGGACAGTTCATCTCGGCCCTGCTGGGGGCTGTGAAAGCAGTGATGGCAAAGGTGGGCCTTGTGTCTCTGCTGTCCGTGTCAGTTTGTGCTCCCAGCTCTGTCCCCTGAGCCCCATCTGCCCTCAGCCTCTGTGGCCACCTTCCCTTGGGCTCTGTTCCCTTCCTGGGGGACTCATCCCTGTTTTTGTGCCTTTCCAGATATTCTCCCCCTGACGAGAGGGGTGATGGGCAGTCGGCAGCTTTCCAGCCCCGGAACCCACCACTCGCTCCCTGCAGTCCTAGTGCTGAACTTTTCTCTGCTGCAATTTCATTTCTTCCGAGGCAGCCAACACACTGAAGAGGTAGAAGACAACAGAAAGTACCTAAAGCACAAATACACCAAGCTCAAGGCTCCAGCTCCTGCTGCAGCAGGAATTTATCAAGACCTAGGCCACGGGTCATGCCTGAGCAGTGAGTGGCAGATGGAAGGAAACAGCATCCACCCTGCTTTGTAAACAGGAGCTTATCTAAAAACTCTTGGGAATGGGGGAGTGTTTGTCACAAGGGTACCTAAACAAAGCCAGTTGTTACTGAGCCTGTTATCTACTTAATGCCTGCCTGATTCCCGTAGGAAGCTAGCTCAGTACAGCAATAAGCCTAGCAAATCGTGGGTGTCACTGCAGGGAACAGTCCAGGCTGCTTGTCTCCAGAGCAGAGGGAAGGAGCCTGGAAGAACCTGCAGCATCCCATCCTTTATGGGACTCATGACCGAGTGGGTGATGTGCTCGTTGCAGGGAAATCACCCTTAGCCATCTAAGGTGTGCAAAGGGCACCTGAGTGACAGCAAAGGCTCTCTGAGCTGCAGCCACACTGTCCCAAGGACTCGAGGAGTGCCAGGAGTGCCACAACTGCACTGCTGCTGCACTGCTTTTGGGGCTGCTGGGGCAAAGACAGGGGCTTTGCTGCAACCAGAGTGCCAGGTCAGGGATGTCCTCGGCCAGGGTGGCAGAGCAGCCAACCACCTCATCTGCAACTGAATTTCAGGTTTTTATTGGTTTTTAGGTAGTCTTTTACCTCTAAACTTGTAACTGAGAGCTGACCTTGACCCTTGCTGAATAAAACCTTTGTTTTACTGCAAAGGCCACCTGGGACAGGACAAGACCCACGTGTGCAGCCCCCAGCATCAGATGCTCCCTGCTCCAACCCCAGCCCGCCCTCAGCCTCCACCCAAAGGAGCCAGCCCAACTCCAGATGGGTTTATTCTTTATTGGGCCTTTGTCACGGAGCAGCCGTGTGAGCCGGGCTGTGCTCGGCTCTGGTTGGCTCTGCATGGGCTGGAGGGGGTCACCCACACGCTCAGTGTGCGTCAGGCAGCCCAGAGCAGCATTTTGGGTGTTGGAGCAGCCACAGGGCCCGTTCCCGAGCAATGTCTGACACTGCCAAACGCTGCCAGTGGCCCTTTGACTCCTGTGGGACAGTCCAGTGCTGAATTTTCCTGCTGGCTGGTCCGTGCTTTTAACATCTGTCCATCAGGAGGGGGCTTTCACCACAAAAACAAGTCCCCAGGTCCCTGGTGTGAGTCAGTGTTCGCTGGTCATCAGTTTTATGGCGACGCCGAGCGCGAGCACAGCGACGGCTGCGATCACCGCCAGCCCACGCCGGATGATCAGCCCCTTGGTGACCACAGGGGTGGCACTGAGAGGTGATGGCAGAAGTGGCTTCCTGGACCTCCAGCTGGTTCACCGAGCTCTCCCTCCTGGTGATGCCCATGAGCACGACGTCGTTCTGCGCATCCACGCCCGCTGCAAGGAGAAGGGGACAGCGTGTCTGGGGGCTCTGGGGAGATCCAGGGCTTTCTTGGGAGGGTTTTGTCAGAGGGCTGAAAGCACGTTACAAACAGCCCAGAGTGTGGAGATCTCCAGCTTTTTAACGGAGCTTTGGTAGGACCTGGTGTCTGCAAGGTGAGAACTGCCCAGGGTGCCCAGAGGTCGCCCCTCCACCAGCCTCCTGCACCCTCCCCAGCCTGCACTTGTAATTACTGTTCTCCCAGTAACTGAGGGCATCACCAGCACTGCACTGCACCCCCCTCTTGTGGGCTTGTTCCTGGCTTATGTGAATCCCTGGGGACACTTCCTGGACCCAAACCCTGCACTGCACGCAGTGCCCAGCTCCCCCATCCCACCATGCCCAGCTCCTGGCCATACCAACACTCCCCAGCACCGCTCTGGCAGGGAGGTAAGTGTGGGGCTGGGGGGCTGATCCCACGTCAGGGGAAAGCTCCTTGCAGAAGGGTTCAGGGCTCAGGTTTGGCTCCTCAGGTGGTGGCTGGGTCACTCCTGCACGGCGCTGAGCCTGGGGAGGGAACGTGCTGGGTTTAGGTGGCGGCACATGGTGTGGGCAATCCCCACCGAGCAAAGCCAATGCGTTGCCTCTTGTGGGGTTCAGCTCCAGGGAGACCCCAGAGCTGTTGGGGCACAAGGTGATGCCCAGGGCTGAAGGGCTGAGTGCTCTGTGCTTCATGTCCCCCAGCCAGAGGTGGCACCAGGTGGTGCCATCAGGGGAGCAGATGGTGCAGAGAGAAACCTTGAGGCCACTGAGTGCATGTGCAGGAGGGAGCTGAACACAGGGGTTAAGTCATGGGAGCGCTGGGTTTAGCTGAGGGCACTGGAGGACAGTGCAGGCCATGAGACTGAGCCCGTGCTGCTGTCTGACCCCAGTGCAATCACAGCCAAGGCACTGAGGACCTTCCCACTGGCCGGGCACAGTGCTGGCAGTGCCTGGATTACCTTCTCAGCTGCTTTCTTCCAGTCCATGCGGGAGATGTGGACGAGGAAGCAGGTGCAGAGGATGAAGACACAGACGAGCATGCCAAGCCACAGGCCTGCAGAGGGCACGCCAGTGTCAGCTGGGGTAAACCCAGCAGAGACAGCATCCCAGGACAGCAGGCCAAGGACAGGGATGGCACCGAGGTCAGCAGGGACACAGGGACGGGGTGGTCATGGGTGCCTGCTGCGGGGCTGCCTGGCACACCTGGCAGCAGTTATTTCTTCCAGCACGAGTAAAAGCTCTCAGCAGTTGCAGGAGCCAGCCCAGCCCAGCCCAGCCTGGTGTGCCCTATCCCCAGGCAGATCTGAGGCAGGGTCATGGTGAGCCATCAGCGGAGCTGGGGGTAGCTGCAGGTACCCGTGGGGGATTTGAGGGCCCAGGGGTCAGTACCTATGACGCCGATCTTGGCCACGAAGAGCAGCACAGCTGCCAGGGGCATGCCCACACCATAGTAGCACACAGCGTTGAGGATGGCTCCGAATTTCTGCTTCCCGATGCCTCTGAGCACCCCTGCACAGGCGCCCTGCAGGGAGAGGGAGAGGGGCTGGGGCAGGGGCTGCCAACTCGGCTGAATTCAGGGCTCTGCTGCTGCCTGGAGATGAACCAGCTCCCTGCCTCTGCCTGTTATTTCTGTAGTCCCTGCCCAGTCCTGTTGATCACCATCTCTTTAAGCAACTCTGTATTTTCTAAGGAAATGATCCTGGGATCCCTGCAGGGTCCTGGTGTGGGCATCACATCCTGGTGTGCTCACCTGCAGCCTGAGGGACCCTCAACCCACCGACCCACGATGCTGCTGCTCAGCACCGAGGTCCCCTATGGAAAACAGCAGTATTCCCTGGGACTTACAGTCATGGCTTCAAACAGGTGGAAGACAACATAGACCGGCATGACCCACGCCACCAAGTCAACGATCTCCCTGGGGGCAGAGAAAAGGCACTTGATCACTTTTGGGAGCTGACCTCCATGCACCGAGGCCGGGAGCCGGGGGCACTCACTTGTCCTGGGTGAAGATGTACCCCAGCATGTTCTTGGCGGAGGCTAAAATGATCCCCACGGCTATGCAGAATGCCCCTGGAAACAGAGCAAAGTGCTGAGCCCAGCCTGGCCATGATGCAGAGCTGCTGAAGGGAGACAGCAGGGGGAGAAGTGGCAGGCACAGGACTTCAAATGCTCCCTGCCCCTGCTCTGCCTGGAAGGAGCCCAGAGGCAGAGGCTTCCCAGCATGTTGTGGACTGACCTGTGCAGAGCAGGCTGGTGGTGGAGGATCTCTTGGCCGTCTCGAAGTCTCCAGCGCCCAGAGCATTCCCCACCTGCACACTGGCAGCTGTGCCCAGCCCCAGAGGGATCTGCAACCACAAGGCTGAGGCTCGTGTGTGTGTCTGGATAACTGGGCTGTCACAGTGACACTGGAGTAATGACCCAGCAGAGAGAGGGACGGAGTTCAGGGTTTGATTTGAGGCATCTCTACAGGAGGGATAGGTGGGAGCAGGAAGAGGCTTAAGTGCAGAGGGGGAAGATGGAGCTCTGCTGGAGCTGATTTTTGCTGGTGTCTGTCTCAGGATGGTCCCCATGGAGCCCTGATCTCTAATAATAACCCCAATCCTTACCATGAAAGCAACGACAGACACCTCATAGATGATGGACTGGGCAGAGAGTTCGACGACGCTCAGCAGGCCTGGGGAGAGGAAGGTGGCCAGTGCTGGCTGTGGGTGCGCAGGGGAGAGCTGCTCTCAGCCCCTGCAGCTGCTGCAGGCGCTTCTCTGGGTCATCTCCTGGCAGCTCCCCTCTCCACTGACCTATCAAGAAGCTCCCGATCTCGTAGGTCCACCACTCGATGCACATCATGAGCATGCTGGGGATGGCCAGGGAGGTGAAGCTGTCCCACTCCAGCAGGCATTCGGTGGACCAGCCTGCAGAGAGGAGAAACATCACCTGATGGATGGCCAGAATGGACACGTGTTACATCCTCGAGTGCACCTGAGGCAGCTAGAGCTGCCATTCCTGTTCACAGCCACCAGGGCAATGCTCCTCAGCTCCACAGGACCTCCAGCAGCAGAGCTGCACCTACATTCTCTCTGATGTTGTCCAGTGGGCCACAGGGCAGTGCAGCCCTCAGCCCACCCCTCCCAGAGCAGAGTGCCTGAGGACAACCTCGTGCTTACACCTGTGCTCATCCAGCTTCGGGGCTGAACCCTTCAGAGCCTCAGCAGGAGGTTTCATTTCTCCAGAATTAATGTTTAGTGCCCGGCACGGACCCTGCCAGCGCTCGTGCATGACGTGCTGCCACCGAAGCAGCTCTGTGGTACCCGGGGCGTGCGGGGCTGGGTTAATATTTCACCACTGGGACAAACAGAGTTTGTCTTCTGTCAGGAACGCTTGATGGAAGTGCTGGAAGTTTTATGGACACTCGGGTAAAGCGTGAACCAGAGGGAGCGAGCAGGGGGGGGGATGCCCTCACCTCCCCAGGTCTTCACGTGGAGTTTCCTGCCTATGATGTACAGGAACAAGAAAATGGCTTGCGAGTACTGAGCGACGGTGTTGGACCAGGCAGAGCCCCTGCAGAGGAAGCGAGAAAGGTCATCTCCATCCTGCTTTTGCGCCTCCCTGGCCCCAGGGTGCTGGGACGTGACGTCCCGCCATGCCCCTCTGAGCAGCAGATGCTCGGTGTTCCCTTGCCGTTGGCAGGTGCCGCGTTGTCCCCCTCCCCGGGACAGGGGGTGCCACTCACGTGATGCCGAAGTGGAACACGTAGAGGAAGATGCAGTTTGCGACCACGTTGACGACGTTGCCGATGACCCCGCTCAGCACCAGCGGCCACATGATCATCTGCAGAGAAGAGGAGACGGGGCCACAGGCTCTGGGAGGGAGGCGAGAAGGTCCCCACCAGCCCCCCCCGGGCTCATCACCTTTCCCAGACAAAAAGTAAACTTCCAGTGGTGCTGCCTGCTTGGAAAATGAGTGTGTTGGAGGTAAATCCCTGATGTGGAGAAGTATAAAGGGAGGTGGATGGATATACCTGGCTGTGGGGTGGGGTGACCTACAGGGTCAGAGCTGTTTTGGGGCACCTGGGCAGTGTTGGGGACAAATGCTGCCTCGTCACCAGGAATGGTGAGCATGGAAACCCCTGGGTTCATGGTGGAAGGGAACCAGGGCTGGTTCATGGGTGTGAGAAGTTGAGGACTTACCTGGTTCTGCAGGTATCGTGCCTCCAGGTTATACAGAAAAACCGCCTGCAAAGGAAATTGGTGGATGAGACGAGGCAGTGCTGGGCAGTAGGAGTGGGGTGGCATCGGGGGTGCCCACAGGGACTCACCGGGAGAGCAGGGACAAAAGCCATCACGTAGCGCTGGGTTAACCTGGGGACAGGCAGAGCAGGGTTAGGGAGGGGCAGGGCCATGGCCAACCTCCTCTCAGCCCCACCATGCTGGGGAGGGACAAGGGGCCATGGGACCGCCTGACCTGGAGACCTCAGGGTCCTGCCGGATGAGGAGCATTAACTGCTCGATGTTGATGAGGATGGCACAGCAAGGGAAGCAGCAGAGGAGGATGATGATGGTGGCACGCTGCAGGATCACCCCCACCCGCAGCAGGTTTTTGCTGCCATAGGTCTGCAAGGCGAGAGGCCAGTGGTGAAGTCAGCTGGTGCTGGGGGACAGGGATCTCACAGAGCATGGAGCAGCCCTGACCACCCTGAAGACCGCCCAGGAAGGATTTGAATCGTGGATCTCCCTGTTACGGGATTGCTACCCAGGGACAAGCTTTCCCAGCTCACAGGAGCATCCAGGACTCTGTGGAGCATCATCAGCTGATGCTGGAAACCCCCATGTCCCCAGGACAAGTGCCAGCACGTCTTACCCACCTGTGATATCAAGGTGTCACACGCCGAAGTCAGACCGTAACCTACAGAGATGGCAGTAACGTTTATAACCTGGGAAAGGGAGTTGAGAAAACAAAGAGTGAAGGTGAGCACTTAAGACTTTCAGGTGGGGAGAGGGGTTAAAAGGAAAAGTGGGAGTCTGGAATCTCCCGTCCTTTTCTGCTGCCATTCCCGTATCCCATCCCAGTGTCAGCAGGGTGGGGGGGAAGCTCATGCCTGGAACCAGGAATGCTTACAGCGATGGCCAGCGTGACGGAGGCCAGCTCAACCTTGCCCAGGTGGCCACAGAATATGGAGCTAACGAGGTGTATCAGGAAGATCAGCAGCTGGATCAGGATCTAAGCACAGAGGAGAGGAGAGGAGAAGGTTAGTGACAGAGGTGAGCAGAGAGTGGTTGTGCTGGAGGGGGTGTCTCTCCTCCCAGGTCTTTACCAGCGGCCCCGCCAGCACCAGCAACTTCTTCACGTCCTCCCAGAAGTTGTCCGGGACCAGGCGCTGAATCCAGTGGGCTTTCTTCTCGCAGCTCCCGGGTGTGAGGTTGTTCTGGCCAGAGGCCACTGCCTCACCGTTCTCCTCGGGGAGGTTCTCTGTCTTCGTGCTGCCATTCTCCCCAGGAAGGTTCTCCGGCTTCATGCTGCCGCTCTGCCAGGGCAGTGGAACAACCCCTCCCTCCGCGCTCTGTTAAACCACGGTGGGGTGAGCAATGTGTAACCACGGTGGGGTGAACTTCAGCCGGGGCCGGATGAGCCGGCCACACGTTCCCTGCTGCTGATGGGAAGTGTGGGCAGTGGGTCAGGGCAGGGCACGGAGCTGGGGAGCCCAGTGAGGGTCCTGGCAGCACAGTGGAGCCCGGCAAGGCACTTACTGCCTGCCCCGAGCCAGCACAGGGGCTGAGCCATCCCAAATCTGCCCTGAGAGCCCTCGTACCTCTCTCCTGCTTCACCACAGCTCTGCCGGCCGGTGGGCTGGAGGGTCGTCCTCCTCTTCCAGCAGCGATGGAGGATTCTTGGATCTGTGTGCGGTCTCTGGTGAGCTGCTGCCGCAGTGGTGGGGCCGCTGTCTCGGCCCCTCTCATCGCAGTGGCCAAGACAAGCCGGCCCCCTTGGCTCCAGCTGTCGGCCTGGCACAGCCCCACCGTGTCGGGTTTCACTGGCACAGCTCCCCCAGGCCAAATATAGTGTCCTTGGCCCACGGGGGAGGCAGGCAGAGGGAGCTGCTGCTGCAGCTCAGACCTGCTCCTGCGTGGAGCGGGAGGTGGGCTGGGGCAGCTCATGGGGCACTGCGAGACCTCCCATCCCAAACCTACCGGGATTCTGAGCAGGGCAGAGTCTGCCACAACATCCCACAGCTGGGCAGAGGCCCTGGGTGTTGGGGATGATGGCAGTTTCAAGCTCCTTTACATCACACCTTTTCATTCCCAGCCCACAGGTCACCAGCACCCCTGAGCCAGGGTGACAGGGAGGTGCCATTCATCGGCTTTACACGGGATTTACCTCCGAGGGCCCGGCATGTGCCACCTCTCAGTCACTCAGCTGCAGGTAAGAGCCTGGGACAGGGCCAGAGGGACTCAGTGCTGAGGGCAGGCAGGGATGGGGGGTTTGCATTATGACATATGGCAGTTCTTTGATGGTTCTGGAGGGCTGTGCAACACATCCACCCTCATCCCTGGCGCTCAGCGGTGCAGAAAGCAATTGAGGAGCACAAACCCTGCTTTTGTACCCGAGGGGAGCAGAGTGATAACACTACACCCAGAGCCAGCCCCAAACCTCAGGGCTGAAAGCCTGAGGCTCTGTCAGGCTGCACAAACCAGACCTGTGTCTTTCCTCTTAACAGCACAGTCATGCCAGTGACCAGGGTCATGCACACACCACATTAAACAGCCCAACATTTACTCAGAAAACTTTATTGTATCAAAATCCCACCTTACAAAAGTGCAAAGAAGAGTTGTTTTAGGCCCTGTGCCTGCCCCGCCACAGGGGCAGCGGGGCCAGGGGCCAGCAGGCAGCACCCAAACAGCAGCCAGACATCTTCCAGCTGAATCCACCTTGCCCTGCGCTGCCACGAGCAGCTGCGAGTGGGCTCTGCCACGGCAAGATGCTGGCACAGACCAGGAAACTGTGCTGTGGGCAGCAGGAGCCTCTGCCATTAGCAAATGATACAGAGAAATGCCCTCGGGGGCAGGACAGCAGCAAAAGGACCCTGTGTCTCCTTCCAGGGTCAGCCCCGGGATACGCTCCCACCCGTCACGAGTGACATCCCAGTGCAACGCAGGAGAGGAACCAGCTCTCAAGCACTTTTTTTCCCCAGGTGCCACATCCTCACCCCATCTAAGAACTCTGAGTGTGGGATAAAACATCATGAGTGATCCAGAAACTGAGCAAAGGGACTTTTTGTCAAGAAGCGAGGGGGAATTCCTTCCCCACGCCATCCTCCTGGGACACCACCACGTGCCCTCCCGCTCTGTGCACACTCCCCAGCGTCACTGGCTCTAGCCATTGCCAGTCAGGAGCCGGACCAGGATGCCCACCAGCAGGACAGCCACAGCAGCAGCAGCAGCCAGCACACGGCGGAGGATCAGGGCCCTCCACATCCCGGCAGGAGGAGCAGCGACAACAACAACAGGCTCCTCCTGTGCGATGAGCTCGTGGTCAGGTTGCCTCTCGCCCACCACGATGTTTTCAGGCAAGGCCACAGTGTCCACAGTGTCCACGGTGTCCACGGTGTCCACGGTGTCTACGGTGCCCGTGTCAACAGAGGTGTAATCTGTGTGACAGAGAGGCCAGCGCTGCAGGGAAGCCGAGCTGCCAACTCAGGTGCTTCCAGCCTGATGCTACACAAGGGCCAGTGACAGTCCTGGGTGTCCTTTCCCAAGGCTTGGGACACTGGGACACGCCCCAGCAAAGAGGCAGCTGCCCCCAGGTGAGGCAGACATGGGTTGGCAGCCCAGGCTCTTCCCTGGAGCAGCCAGCACAGCGACAGGGTCTGCTGTACCCTGTCACTAAGTGCAGACCTGGGACCAGCACCAGGCACTGTGCTCTTTCCAGCCATCTGAGCCTGCAGGGCAGACATGGCTGCCACGACTGGGAAGGAAAGGAAGGGGCTGGGTGGAGAATTTGGGCTCCCACCCCGGTGTCAGGCCTGGTTACATACCCACAGCAGATGTTTTGTTAGCAGCTGTGCCACTGGAGTTCACGTCTTCCAGTTGTACTTTTGTTCCAGCTCGGACTTGAGCCTAAAAACACAGGGAAGAGTTGCTCTTCTCAGGGCAAGGCTGTCCTGCCCAGCCCAGAAAACTCTCCACTCTCCCAAGACAAGCATGCTCAGCACCAAATGGCTCCTCTGCTACAGGAGAAGGACAGATGCCAGTTCACTTCTGCCTCCTCCCAGAGTGCTGTTGCATTGTACTGGGACAGCAACTCACCCAGCACCCTTCAGGTGTTACCAGAGAGAAGCACAGGTCTCACCTCCTCTGCAGCTTTCTTCCAGTCCATGCGGATGACAAAAGTCAAGAAGGAAAGGGCTTGCACAGCGATGCAAAGAATCATCCCAACCCACAGACCTGCAGCAATGGGAAGTTACTTCAGGGAGGGCTCAAGAAAAACTTGCCTTTGTCAGCTACTGGCACAACGCTCAGGGACCTCAGTGGGGTCAGAATATTGCCCCGTGTTCAACCCAGCCTTGATGGGAAAGAAAACACCTCCTGGGGGAGCTGGGAGCAAGCCTGGATTTACTGGGACATCTCAGCCCCCATCTGATGGGGGGTCTCAGCGCCTGCCCCAAACACATCACAGGGTGCAGTCCAGCCCCACTGATCCACAGGAGGACCCAGGCAGGGCTGGGCCTTTGCTCAAGGCAGCTCATACAGCAGCAGGTGGAGGACACACATACCCAACACCCCCATCTTGGCTGCAAACATCAGTGAGATGCCGACGGGCAGGCCCATGGTGTAATATCCGACGGCGTTGGCGATGGCACCCAGCTTCTGCTTCCCAGTGCCCCGCAGCACTCCCCCGCAGGTCGCCTGAGGAGAGATCCCTGTCAGGTACCACCACAGCAGACCTGGGGCCTGGCACAGCCCTGGGAACAGGGGAACCCACAGCACTGAACTGCAAAGCCAGGAAGGAGCAAAGCCACACCCTGGAGCACAGAGCGTGGGGCTCCTGTTGCTCCAGCTGCTGACGCCAACAGGCACGCCAGCAGATCCCACAGAGCTTCCCACGCTGCCCAGGTCCCTCTCCCCGGGACATGACGTGAGGAAACAGGTCAGAATTACTACCTAATGAGTTTATGAGCACTGCCAGTACGCTGGGAGCACACAGTATCTCTGAACACCCAGCTGTTCCGAGATACCCGCTCGTGCTGCTTTGATAAGCCAGTAAAAATCTGGAGCCTTGCCAGGGGAAAAGAGGACGAAAAACTGGGTTGTTTGCAGCGATGCCAAGGGACAACTACAAGCACAGGGGACACCGCTTATCAGTTGGCTTCTCTGCATCATTTGAACAGGTCAAGAGTGAGCTACAGGCAGCTTTGCACCCTCCATGGCACCCCAGCCTGCAGGGAGAAATCACTTCACGTGCTGGAATACTCACTGCTGTTGCATCAAGCAAGTGGAACGGACCAAAGATGAGCATCACTTTGGACACCAAGCTAACGATCTCCCTGTTGGGAAGATGTATGTGCTGATCAGGGGAAGCAGCACCAAGGACTCTGGTTCCCTCAGCCAGCTGCCAAGGCTGATCCCAGTTCCCTGATCCCAGCCTGCTACCATGGTAGTGCCCCAGTGGCAGAAACATCTGCGCTTCCAGGCAACAGGGAGGAACCTTTGGGAATGTGTTTGCCAGGTGGGGGTTTGTGAACTCTTATCTGTCAGCAGCTTCTGGGATATGAATAACACCCTCCAAGAAGGTAATAATGCTCAAGAGAAAGCTGTTAACGCACTTGTCATTGGTGAAGATGTATCCCACCACGCCCCTCAGGCTCTCCAGTAACGTTGCAACCAGCACAGCAAAAACTCCTGAAAAGAAAAAGGAATAATCACATTGCTTCAAGGGCAGCGTATGTCCTGCTCCTGACCCAGGCCCAGACCTCAAAGGCTTCACGTGGTGGGGATTGGACTTGGCTGACCTCCAAGTGATACTGAAGCAGAGGACAAGTCTGTTTTCCTCATGCTCTCCCCAGATACTCCCCCTGCCTTCTGCAGGGGGAGGGCAGAACTCTAAACTGCAGTTTTAACTTCCAAAGCCTTTGCACCAGGCTCATAACAGCAAAGAGGAGTCAGGATCTTGCCTTGCCTGAGGGGCCCAAACAAGTGGGGTTTGGGTTCCCATGGGGGGTCCCCAGCCCTGAGAGAACTGAACTATTTGCTGTTAATTGCCCTTCATTCCCCTCTGCAGGACCTGAGCTCACCTGTGCACAGCAGTGCAGTGATGCAGGAGGTCTTGGCTTGCACCACATCCCCCGATCCCAAGGCGTTGCCCACCCTGACACTCGCAGCCACGCTGATGCCCAGAGGCACCTGAGTAGCAGGAGACAAGAGGAGGTGAGTGGCAGCAGAGCCTGCAGTGACAACAGAGCCTGCAACAACTTTTATTCTTCCCCAGAGGGGAATTTGGGACACACTGGCGTGGCTGCAGTAAAGGGATTTTCCACCTGCAGCACACCCTGGATGTGCAGCTGCATGGCAGGTCTGAGAAGCATCAGACCTGCCTGGTACAGCCCCCTGTTCCCACCTCAGCCTTGCTCCACAGTTTGGGGGCTGCTCCCAGGCTGTTTGGGGTTTCCTACAACCAGCCCTTACCATGTAGGCAGCACAGGAGAGCTCGTAGATGACGGACTGTGCACCCAGGTCCACCACACTGAGCAGCCCTGGAAGAGATTCATCATCAAACAACCTCCTTTGTTTGCTGACAAGGAGGCAGCGACTAACAGGGTTCCCACTGATCAGATGGGAACACCTGCAGCGTCCTGCAGACCCAGTCCTGTAGGTGAGGAGGCTGCTGGCAGGAGGAGCTCTGGGGACACAGTCAAGAAGCAGCCACCAAAGCAGGCACAGCTGGAAGGCAGCCTGTTGAACCACAGGGAAAAGAGGATTTGGACT